TCTGTAAAAATAATATGGTCTGCCCAAGGCAAGACAATTAAGATCGATGTTAATACCGTTATCACCCATTTTTCATACCTAAATACAAAAAATCATAATAAGTAAAAAATTCGTCTTCATAGATTCCGTTAAATGAAATATGATAGCAAAATTACTTTAAAAATAAATTACGGGCAGGTAAATCAAGTAAAAATATATATGAGCAAAAAATAATGTTATTGCTGACTTATCTTATGGACGGGAACTTGCTTATTTTTATACCGTCCATTCGCTAGATCTAGAGAACCTGCCAGAAGGAAAGTTACGTGATTAGTAATTGTGGTAGGGTAACGCAATCTAGATTCCACCATGTAAAGCAAGTCTATTCGGTCATAAGTTCCAAACACTGAGCCTATTTTGTTATTTTTTTCTGGTAAATTAAACCCTCCTTAGATTCGACGATCTCTCCTGCGAAGTGAAAAAGTCAACGATCTCGACGATCTGGGAATGGCGGAGATTCCAAGTCCTAGTAACATATGAATTTTGATAAAACTACTGATAAAGAAAGTTGTACTCTTCCCTATTATAGCCCTTTTAAGTTCCATTTGCACTTTTTCTTATCGCAGTATTATATATAATAAGAAAAGGCTTTCTAGATATTCATTATCAAAAATCGACTGTGAGAAATTAAAATAACATCGCATAAAATTTAATGCAGGCCATTGATTATTAAAGCCGGTCAAGTTTTTATTGCACATTCGAATTGATAAATCTGACATTAAGTGATCGCAGAAAAGCGAACCTGTGGGACCGTTAAATCATATGATAGTATGACACATAATAAATACTAGCAACGTGGTTATGTTAAAATAGTGCACATATGTGTTTACAAGTACGTATTAAATTCTAGATAACTGCTATTAAGCTACTGTTGAAGTGTTGTTGGCTTTTTCTTAATAAACATATATAAAATTGCTAAGCCACTGTACATGCAGAAGTTCCATGACTTTCGATTTTCTTCTTTGGTATAACATGTGATATGTTAATCGAACATCCGTGTTATGCAATCGATTTTATTACTAGAAATATCAGACATTTTCCAAGACTTTATTTTTTATTTTTTTTGGTAAAATTTCAGCGCCAAAATCATGTGATGCTACTATACAAAAAAATAGCGATATATTCACATGTATACAGCAGGCCCATAGGGCGACTCAAAGAGTCATAATTGTACTATTTTTATTAAATAAAGAAAAGTGATCGAGGATCTTTATCTTTCCTCTTCATTTATTGATTCCATATGGAAGAGTAGTTGACTACCTATATCATGCATAATGGCATCACTTTCGTTTCATGGTAAGGATAAATTTAGCAAATCAGGTGTTAGATTACTGCCGGAGACAGCTACTTTGTAGTTAGAACTGTCTTGGCTCTGATTATTATTTTGTGCTTCATCTGTAGCCCGTAAGTAAAGTAGTGGTTGGGAGATAATGTTTCAATTAGAAGTGGGGGACACTAATATTTTGCTCAGAATTTCTCATACTAGGGTTGTTTATATTAGTATTATTATGGGGTGAAGTGGGATATGGTAAATGTCTTTGACTCTTTCTACTAATAATAGATGGAGACTAGTTTATTTGTCTAACGGAAGATCTTATACTCAATACATGCTCAACTTCCTCAATAGGTGGTGCTGGTGTTGTATTTTCCACATCTCTATTCTGCCTACGGTTTGAGGTATTAAGAGTATGGATTCTATCAAATTCATCTTCAGGCCTCTCCCAAAAATGTGTACAAAACTCATCAAAGTATTGTGCACCCATTCGATTTCTACGTGCTCTATGACTATCTGATATATATTCATACATCGCCTAATCGAGCAATTTAATTATGTTAATAGGAACCAGATAAAAAAATGATACTTTATAGTGCGAACTTACATTATAACTCCGAACAAGATTCAAAAATTTTTCTTTATAATGATAACCAGTAAAATTAGTATTATGCGCTTCGTTTATTCTATTTGCAATACTATTCCAAAATATGTTTCGATTTCTTCCGTGGTTATAGTACTCTATATTTCTATTTTTTCATTCTTCGATTAGAGTACGTGTTTGTGCATCTGTCCATTCTATCATTTTCAACCTGTGTTCAATCTGTGTTCAACCCTAGTTCAACCCACATTTATATTTTATTATATATTCATTATGAGAATGTATAACCAAACTTCAACCAGAGTTCATGTCATTTTCTGTTCATTTCTATTTAGTGTCGCTCAAAAAAATCATCATTATAACCAAACTTGAATTGGTATTACATCTGAAATTTTGTATAATTAACCGACTTCGTATGCCTCGAATTTGTATATCTTGGATTTGTTTATCTCAACCGGGATGATCTCAAATGGTGGGTGTCGTATATTCCTATTGCCAGAAAATTAAATCATATACTTGTAATACCCGAAATAGATCTCTCAAACTTGTTTTATCTAATTAATTTTCTGCATGTTTATTGTAAACCCAGTATCATTTTATACTACTTATCTAAATTTGTAGATCTGGGCTGGCTTAATATAGCATATAAAATTATCATTGTACCCCATATAAGTATGCTCAACAAGTTATTAACGATCTAATCCCAATATAGAAAACATGCAATTGTTGATTGATTTGCCGTGTCCAATTGCCGAATTTAGTAAACAATTTAATTATTTGTATGTAGTAATTATTGTGCTATGTTAAGATGCTAAATAAAAAATATTAGTTGACTCGTGTTTAATTATTGTATACTACTTCATGCCGGATTATTAAATTATATACTGAACTAATAAAAATAAGCCATAATTTATAATAAAAGGGTCCAGTACAAAGTTCTGTTCTGAAAAAAGCAGTTGATAGAACGTGGTTGTATTAAAAAAGTGCACAGATGTATTTTTGAAAACAAACCTGCACTCTCGAATATTCACATTATAACACTTATTCTAAATTTGTAGATGAAGTGCCAAAAATATCAAAATTTCAGTCTCAAAAATCATGATGCGTGTTGATTGAATATCTAACACGCACTTTATTCATCGTGTAAAAAAAATTTCTGATACACGACTGGAGTATATAAATATTTATGGATTATTAAATAATCTGCCCTTAAAAACAAATAAGGCTAACAATTATATGTTAACCATGTAGTATAATTATCATTTCTGATAGCTTAGTACTTTGGCTTGGGTGGTTTGTTCAGTCCGCAAAAATAATCAATTAGGTGATTTGATTGGACCGTATAAAATATGATTTAATCTCATTTTTTATTTTTCTCTGAGTTGCATTCACT